ACCCACCCCTAGACATGTGTCCCTCTATTAACACAGAGGCACTACTGTGCAATCCATGTCTTCATCTCTAGCTGAGGAAGCCTCATTTCCAGGATGCTCCCAGCACCCCTTCTGTACAACTTGCATCTGTTACTATACACTGGCCACACTCGTATCACACTCATATCAAACCTCACGTGGGTACTAGGTCAATGTTTCTCCAACTATCTGTGGAGAGGAAGCTGTTTTGCTTTGTGGTTAATTTTTTTTTTTACCAATGTTCAACCTACTACAATAAAAATAAATTACCAGAATCATAATTTTAAAAATGGAAAATAACAAGTGCTGGCAAGAGAAATTGGAACCATCATACACCATGGTAAAAATGGTGCAGCCGCTACGGAAGACAGCTGGGCACTTCCTCAAAAAGTTAAACACAGAATTACATATGACTCAGCAGTTCAACTTCTAGGTATATGCCTAGAAGAACTGAAAACAGATATTCAAACAAAGACTTATTCACGATTATTTATAGCAGTGCTACTCACAATAGTCAAAAGGCAAGCAACGCAAATGGCCATGAACTGATGAACAGATAAACAAAATGTGTTATCTATACAATGAAGTATTATTCAGCCATAAAAAGGGATGAAGTACCGACATATGCTACACCTTGTACCTTGAAAATATTATATGCTCAGTGAAAAAAGCCAGTCACAAAAGGGCACATATTATATGATTCCATTTACACAAAACATCCAGAATAGACAAATCCATCAAGACAGAAAGCAGATCAGTGGTTACCAGGGGCTGGAGGAAGGGACAATGGGGAGTGACTGCTTAATGGATATGGGGTTTCCTTCTGGGGTGAACAAAATGCCTTGAAACTAGACAGAGGTTAATGGGTGCCCAATATCATAATGTACTGAATGCCACTGATTTTTATACTTTAAAATGATAACCAGTTCATTTCCGTGTCAGGCGAAGGTTACTTCAATAAAAAAAAACCTACTAGAAAAATAAAAGACAAAAAATACAAGCCCCAATTTTTTACTAGACTCCATAGACATAAAATTGCTCTGTCAAGCTGCTACAGTTTGGGTTAATTTTAATTCCTTTATTTACCTCCTTTTAGACCAGAAACAAAGCCATCCACAGACCCTTGGCAGTCTGTGGCCCCCACTCTGGGGACCACTGCCTTAAGACCCCATTCCATCGTGGGACACTACCATTGTCCCTAACAAGTGTGCCCCCACGCACACCTTGCACCAGAGAGCTTTCCTTCTATTGGATTACACCCTTCAGCGCACAGGCCTATCATAACAAATCCCTTCCTTGAACCTCCCTCTTCTAGTTAGTGCTCCTTTTTACTGCTCCCACCCCTTTCCGGCAAAGCTCCCCGCAGCACTGCCCTTACTCACAGCCTCAGGGCTTCTCTCCCAGGAGCTCCTGAGGGACAGTCAGGTTTTGGTTCTCACTTCCCCACCAAAGTGCTACTCGACAAGGACATTGATCTTCTCTACCTTGCAGCAGCCAATCGTCAATTCCAGTCCTTGTTTCATTTGACTGACCAGCATTTAGACTCTTCACCAAAGTGCATTCTGTAGTTGGCTTCCAAGATATCATTTACTCTTAGTTTTTCTCCTGCCTCATAGGCTGCTCCGTCTTACTCTCTCCTTTGCTGGTCCTCTTCATCTCCCAGAGGTCTAAACACCGGAGGACCCCAGGGCTCAATCCTTGGTGCTGCTTCTGCGTCTACACTCATTTCTCCAGGGGACTCTCATCATATAGACTTCAAATAACATCTACGCACTGAACTACTGAGATCTTATTTCAATCTTCATACATACAATAACCATCTGACAATCCATTTGAATGACTCATGAACGTCTCAAACTAAATATGCGCAAAATTAAACTAACTCCTACGAACCTGTTTTATTCCCATGATCTTCTTTACCTAAATAAATGGGAACTCAAGTTTTCTACTCGGTCAGGTTAAAAATTAGGGAGTGATTCTTCACTCTTTCCTTCATGGCCCATCCCAAATCCATCAGCAAATCCTTTTGGACCTATCTTCAAACTATATCTAGAATTCAACTGCTTGTCAGCATACCATACTCCCTCCCTAAGCCACTGTCATATTTTGCAAGAATTACTGCAGTAGCCTTTTAACTGGTCGCCTGCTTCTACGTCGCATCCCTACAGTCTATTCTTAAACAGTAGACAGAGTGAGGTTTAAAAACCACAGGCAGACGGGTCACTTCTTTGCTGGAAACTCTCCAGCAGCTTCCCAGTTCACCTGAAATAAAAGCCAATGTGCCTGCAATGGTTGACAAGTCCTACCTGGCCAGGCCCCGCCATCTCTCTGATCTACCTCCTAATACTTTCCAGGATACAAGAGGAGAATGACTCATAGTCTTTTTACAAAGAAAAACATTGAATAGTAGCAACACGGCAAAAGGAAAACTTTTCCTGTAATACTTTTCCTCTCTACGTTCTATTTTCATGTTGCAATATTTAGGAAAACCTTAAACTTGGACTCATTTCTTGAGATGGTAAAGAGAGGTTATGGCTGTATAAAAAAGACAATGAAGAAAAATGGACTTAGTGGGCAAATTTATATTTAAGTAATACTTTAAAAGAAGCATTAAACCTACTAGAAAGTAACTTAGTAGTTTCTAAGTAGTTTTTCAAATTACTTAGAAAGTTCCCACTTAGAATAATTTATATACTATTTACAAATCATTACACCTTATTTATTAACAAACCAAAGGACCACAACTCAAACTTGACGGAATTGACACATGTGACTGGTTCTCAGCCAGCCTTTGTCACGTTAAATAAATATACTGGTGTCCCCATCCCCACTCACGGCCCCCCACCACTAGCCTTAGCCCCATTAAGGGCCTTATTTGCTCCCACGAAGCTCCCTGCACTTGTGTCAATGCTGATGATAAAACCAAGGATCCAGTGCCCCAACAGAGGACATCTGGGGTGTCCTTGTGGACGCCCAGACATGACTTTCTCTTTCTTCTTCCCCTCCCACCAGCTCTATAAAAATCCCATATAATGTAGAGCCCATGACACCATATATTTGGAATTCATAAAACCGTATTTCTTTTAAAAATTCGCTGAGACCTGGATTTTCAATTAATTCATAATCTCTTTCCCCGTGACAGTTCTAAAATAGGTCTACTGAGATTTCACTGCAATTCTTCCTACCAACTGCCTCATGTCTGAAGCTAGCGAGTTAGAGGAGTCCTGGGAGGTTAAACCACACTTTCAAATAAACATAGCACCAGGAAAGTTTTGAGAAATTCTAGGTGTGATTTGCTCAGTCTTTCCCTATGAACGCTGGTGTAGCCAGGCTTTTCTTTCTTGGCCTGTAACCTCTTTACTCTGAGTCTCTTCCTTTTCTGCCATAAATTCAAATGCCTACTGCTCCTCTCCAAATCATTCTTCTCTGCTCTAATAAATTTCCTCTTATCTTTTTGTCATATTGCCTTCTTTTGAATTTACACCTTTATCTCAAGAATGCAAGTGCTTCTAAAAACATTCCATTATTCCTGGAGAAAGAAGCTCAGGCAATTTCTTCCTGAAAATAGGTTTCCCTGCTAATTTTCTGAATGAATAAATGTTTCTTTAAAGGTTTCACGCCTAAATTGTTCACTGGCTCCATAAGACAATCAGGATTCTGACTTTTCAGGATTATGTTTCCTTACAGAACAAGCATACTTAAAAATAATACCTAAATCATTTGTTCACGCATTCATCACTCAATCAGTAAATAACAAATAAAAGGCACCAGAGCAGATAAAAAGGCATATGAGATGTGTTCTCTATACTTAAGGAGCTTACAATCTAGATAAATATATATATAATCAAAGGAAGTATGAAAGACCATATGGGCATACATTATGTAGCATGAATAATTATAATAAGAGCTGTGTTTGTCCATGCCAACAAAATAAGATTATTAATAAAAATCAAAGTACAATCAACAATGTGTACTTCAGTCTCTCTACAGTTCACACTGATCACTTCCCTCAACTATATATTCCATGTTAATGGAATCCTTTTATTTTACTTTAATATGATAAAGTGTTAACTTCCCCAGCCTTTTTAGACCTTCATTGTTCTAAATTTGTAAATCAAAGTATGGTTCTGATTCTCATTCTCTAAGCACTTGCTTTACAAAGAAACGAGTTCTCTATAGAGTCAAGTTATTGAAAAAACAAACTTCTTTTATTTAGTCCAAGGTAAGTTCTAGTAGTAAGTTTCTCTACCAAGTCATTCACTATTACCCTGATTTCTACTTACCGCCTCAACTGTATGCTTCTCACTTTCCTAGATCAAAAGATGATGCTTAAATATAAAGACCTTAAAAACGGGTCCTGGAAACACAGCAGCCATAAAAGACATCCATCACCACAGTGTAAATGTTGGGGAGAAGGTTAAAATTGAAGTTGAGCAATTGTGTATTTCAAAGTGCTTTGGTTCATTAAACAGTCATTTTTTACTTTAAAGCCATTTTATCAAAGTTATTTGCATTGCTACTGCATAAACTCTGAGATCTATTGTGTTCAAAAATGTTTTATTATGTTATTTTATTTCTTCCTCCAAAAGATAAATACACCTTCAATTTTAAAATGAAAAAGTTTTGGGAAATGAGTATTCGATATATGGAAATTCACTTCAAAAATATCAGGACTTGGAATCACATTTAAAGTGCCTATGTATTTCATATTGACTTCCAGAAAACACATTTTTAGCTTCTGAGGGAGTCTCTTATCTTATTCTTGTCACTCCAGGTACACAGAAAAGAGAAATATAATATTAAGAATATAGCAAAGCAAAATCATTCCATAAGAAAATACGTTAAAGCGTTCTATATTAGAGTCACAGAGCAATGAACTTTCCAGCGGCTGCTAGCGGGTAGGCCCTTGGGAAGCAGAGGCCCAGTGCTAGACGCTTATCCTCTCTCCCCCTCCAGTCCAGCCTATGTAACCAGACACCTACCACTCGCTTTGGCGTCCGAGTAAGCAGGGCCGTCCTCAAAAGTGAAAATCTGGGGCACGCCCTGGCCCAGGTAGGAGGGAGGCGGGTAGTAGGAATGCATCCTGTACTGAGAACTCATGGCATGGCGGTTGTCCGAGGTTTTCATCTGCTTAAGAGAAGAGAAAAAATTTTTAATGAGACCAAAGCTGCATTTTACAATCATTCAAAAATTGCTTAGTTCTTTAAATTAAGAGAACAGCCTGTTAGCTGGAAGTATCCTCAACCATGAATACGCCCTCCATTACACTGGCCCTGCAGATACTAGAAGTGTGCATTCTGAGGTGCTTTTTCTATGTTGGGGTTCCTGCTATACAACACCCCTAAAATTCCACCTCATTATATCATGTCCAATTAACAAGTACTGAAGAGAACAAGGCAGGAAAAATGAGAGAGCATGGTTTAGGAGCCAACACAACGAACTGTGACACTGACTAGCTTGTTTGACCAGCAGCCAGTCAACGAACCTCCTCATGCTTCCTCACAGGTAAAACTGGCATCTTCCCTTAAGTTAACTTAGAGTGTTCATAAAGAGAAAGTTTTTCAAAAACAACAGGACAATAGTGTGAAGGCACACCGTTGTCATGAGCATGATGCTGTGCTGGATATTGTCACTCAGCATCCATCCGCGCCGCTCCCTGCCTACCCCCGGCCTTCTGTGCTTTTCCCCATAATAAGGTATCTGTTTTGCAGACTCTCCTGAATCACCAGGCTCCTGAAGGTGATTAGGATTCTGCTAACAAGACATGGAGTGAGATGTGGAAGACGGAAGGGAAGGCAGAAGGGACCATATGCTGTCCCTCCAGCAGCAGAGGGCAGCTGACACTTGGCATTCATACATTTTTTTCTGTCAATCCAACCTTGCCTTTGGGACCATGGGACAGCTTCTATGGAAGGAGCAGCTCACACAGCTTCTTGGCCTCTCATCCAAAGCTAAGGAGACAGGTCCTGCAGGCTTAGAAGAGCACCCCACTTCCACTTTCCCGGTGCTTCCCGGCCACTTCTATGAACATGCAGAATTGTTCTGCTTCCTGTACATACCCTGGTATAGGCACTAAACATCTAGACTTCAATTATTTATACTGCTTTAAAATACTAACTGTAGATGGTATTAATTTTATCAAAAAAGGAAGTCAATCTAAGGGAATGATCAAGATAAACCAATTCTGTTCAAGAATTAAGGAATGATTTTGAAATCATGTTTTTCAATAAAGTCTCTGGAAAGCTACTTGATTAAAAAAAAAAAAAAGTACTAACTTCACAAACCCTGGCAGGATAAAATTAAGTTCTGAGCTTCCTCCAGATTTCTATGGACATCCAAAATTTGGACAATTCCTCAAGTAATATAGGCCGAAGTTTACTTTCAATATTACAGCATTGCTTGGTGGAAAGGCCTAAGTCCTTGATTTTCCTTCCATGTGCTAATTTGAGTAGCTCAAGATGTTCATTTTTGCCCCTTCTAACTGCTCCACAGCATAAATGTATGCTTGATGAGTGGATTATTTCTTCTTGAAGAAGGAAAAATGACACCATTCCACTTAATTATTACCTTTCAAGTGAAGTGTATCTGGCAAGTTCCTTTAATCCTTTCTTGTTTATTTTGCTGAAGCATAAAAAATGGTATCTCTTCCTGTTCAATCATCCAATTTTCATTTTCTACCATCATATAAATCTTTACTAAATAAGTGGGCATGCAAGCAACGCTTGGAAATAGCCATAGGGGGAAAACTGGCTGCTTTTACCATCTGAGCCCAAGTCAGAAGAACCATTAAGGAGCTGGGAAACCGTTAAAGAGGAAACCTACCGTCCTCTCACTGACCCAGTTATCAGTTAGACGGGCTTCCCGCTGCTCTCTTGATATGTATACAAATAGCCTGGGGATCCTGAGAAAAAGCAGATTCTGATTCTGTAAGTCTGGGCTGGGGCCTCAGAGTCTAACTCACTCCCTGGAGATGCTGATTCTGCTGGCTCAAAACCTCATCGTGGTGACAAGGTACTAATAGGGGTGTCCAACCTGTGGCCAGCAAGCCGCATGTGTCAGAATAGCTATGAATGCGGCCCAACACAAAACTGTAAATTTACTTAAAACATTATGAGATTTTTTGTGTGTGTGATTATGTATCACAATGCCTTAAATGTGTGGCCCAAGACAACTCTTCTTCCAGTGTGACCCAGACACACCAAAAGGTTGGACGCCCTTGAATGATCCTTTCTCTCATACTTAGTGCCATCAGGGGCCCACGATCAATGAACGACCTTCTAAAAACCTCTTCTGACCAACTATTTACAACCATCAACTTCCCATTTGGACTAAGAGAAGGTAGAAACAATGCTATTTTAAATTTTAAATTAGTTTTCTTTTTATACATGAGATTCCTCAGAACTAAGAGACTTTTTCCCAGGGGTCTGCCACCATCTGGAATTGCTGCAGCAGTAATAACCAACTCAAACACTTTCTGCATGAGAGAAACTTTTCTGCCTCTAGAGGCCTTTCCTCAAGTCGGTAACACAAGTAATGGACATTAATTAGAAGACAAGTGCCGACTGCTAATCACAAAGTGTTCTAACAGAAACAATGGCGCCTCCCCATCTGGGTGCTGTGTTGGTCACGTCTCCCTCCCGTGTGACAAGACCTTCCAGTCAGTTCTTCAAAAAAAATGCTTTTCAATTTTCTCCAGGTGCAAAAAAATTAAAAGGATTTGAGCCTACAGACTGCAAAATCCTGGATTCTTTCCTTTTACTATCAGCTTTGTATAAAGCCTCTTTTCAAAATGTTTAAAAAATGTTCACTGAATTTAGAGCCAGGGTCGGCAAACTTTTCTGGTAAATAGTAAATATATTAGGTTCTGCAAACCACGGGTCTCCAGTCAGTACATGAATGGGTGTGGCTGTGTTACAGTAACTTCACTTACAAGAATGTGCTCTGGTTCTCAACCTTCACTCCCTCTAGAATAGGGGGACGGGACCAGCACTGAGGTCTGGGCTCCATGCCTAGAGCATTTGACCTCACTGATCTGGGATTCTGTCTGGGCCCTGGGTTATTCCAAAGCTCTGCAGGTAATCCTAACTGAAACCAAGACCGAGAACCAGTTAGCATTACCTGTAACTAGTGTTACCTATGTATTTCCCACACCCCAAGAAGTATGAAATCCCAACATCCCCAGTATTACCATAACTAAAAAACGCAAAAGATTAACTCTGATAAACAGACTGGCTAACTGCTGCCAATACCAACATGTATATTATTTGAAGAGATTCAGATAAACTGGGGTTTTTTCCTTTTCCTTTAATTAAAGCTTACTGGAAAATAAACACAATATCAAATCTATGCATGTTTACTTCCCCCCTTAATAACTTTTCTGTTTTTTTAGAAAGCATCAGATAACATGAATTATTTGGAAATAGGAATTGTGTTATTTAAACTCAAACATTTCCATTTCCCCAATGAATCCCCAAGATCACTGAGCTATAAAAAACTCCCAGCAAAAGAAGAAAAAGATACAAAGGGTCAGAGGTTGTCAAAATGTGAACTTACTGGGACCATCAATCACTTCAGCCACTTCCAACTGGAAGAGTAATGTACAAATAACCATTCATGTGACAACATGGGCATAAGAAAGCAGTATGATTCTGTGTGTATCTTAGCATATGTGTAAATTTCTGAAACACGAAGTTAAAACTGAATTGTGATTCACCCCAAAAGCCCGGAAAAAGGTGTGGCCAAATGCAATTTAAAACTCTAGGAACTTCTGGCCCAGATGGAGGCAAAGGTAGATACACTCTGCCTCCTTGCACAACCAAAACGAGGACAACAACAAATTTAAAAACAAAAAATAACCGGAATTGCCAGAAAATAGAACTGTATGGAATTCCAACCACCAAGGAGTCAAGGAAGAAATATTCATCCAGACCAGGAGGAGGGGTGGACACGGGCAGCGGGGGCCGAGAGGACGTGGAGGAAGGCAGCAGCAGGCGGACTGGGTGTGCGAGGTAGTGTCTGGCGGACTGGGCGGTCCCACATTCGAGTGCAGATAAACTGGAAGAAACAGCTGGGGAGCAAGACAGACCACGCAATCCAGGGTTCCAGTGCGGGAAAAGAAAGCCTCAAAACCCCTAGAGGAAAAAACCTGTGGGGGAAACGGCAATGGGAGAAACTCCCAGACTCACAGGAGAGTTTGCTGGAGAGACCCATAGGGTCCTTGAACGTACACAAACCCACTCACCTGGGAATCAGCACCAGAAGGGCCCAATGTGCTTGTGGGTAGCAGGGGAAGTGACTGAAAGCCAGCAGAGAGCCGAGACGGCAGCACTGTTCCCTCTCGGATCCCTTCCCCACATACAGCTCCACAACACAGGGGCCTGGGTTGCCTCGCCCTGGAGAATACCTAAGGCTCCACCCCTTCCAACATTACAAGTGCCCCAAGACAAAGAAATACGGCCCAAATGAAAGGACAGATCAAAGCTCCAAAAATAGAACTAAGTGATGAAGAGATAGCCAACCTATCAGATGAGAGTTCAAAACACTGGTAATCAAGATGCTCATGGAAATAGTTGAGTATGGTCACAAAATGGAGGAAAAAGTGAAGGCTATGCAAAGTGAAATAAAGAAAAAGATACAGGGAACCAACAGTGAAGGGAAGGAAACTGGGGCTCAAATCAACGATTTGAAGCAGAAGGAAGAGATAACCATTCAACCAGAACACAGTGGAACTGATACCACAGAAATACAAATGATCATCAGAAACTATTATGAACAATTATATGCCAAGAAATTTGAAAATCTTGATGAAATGGACAAATTTTTAGAAAAGTATAATCTTCCAACACTGAAGGAGGAAGAAACAGAAAGCTTGAAAAGACAGATAACAGCTGGGGAAATTGAAGCAGTCATCAAGAAACTCCCAGCACACAAAAGCCCAGGGCCAGACGGTTTCCCAGGAGAATTTTACAAAACATTTAAGGAAGAGCTAACCCCTGTCCTTCTCAGACTATTCCAAAAAATCCAAGAGGAGGGAAGACTCCCAGACTCCTTCTATGAGGCCAGTATCACCCTGATCCCAAAACCAGATAAAGACCCTACAAAGAAAGAAAACTACAGGCCAATTTCGC